ACTATTCTTCCTAAATTAAGCCTAACTTACTTGGATACCAATTCCTCAGTTTAGAGGAGAAGTTCTTTCATATGAGTACTCTGACCGCACTTAGAGCAATGAGAAACTCTACTTCTCCTTGTTGTATTTCCCATTGTTTCCTGGGTTTTGTGATGTTATTCTAGGTCACTTGCCTCTAGGTTGAGTATTGTTGTTCTATCAATGAAGATGAAAAAGTAGGTTAGTTTCAAAAGCTTTGTTCATAAGAAGATGTAAATATCTCTTGCTTTGTTTATCTTGTTTTTGGATGGGAGGAGAGACCCTCCATTTATAAAATCATTGTAAGGCAAAGTTGTGTGAAAATAACACTCTAGCTCCTTGATCACCAACCACAAGAACCATTCAAGTGAATTTCATGAGAAATCATGATTAATTTGTGTGGTTAATCTTGATTATAATTCGAGAAGTTAATTAATCAATTTCAATATTTGATAAGACTTGAAAATTGAGATTGTGAATACGACAGTTAATGGTAAGAGAATGCATGAATTCGGTTTTGATAATTACAAAGGGATATAATTTTGTCTAGAAATTGGTTAGCCATATTGAATTTATTCAGAATAATTAAAAATGGAGGGGAAACCAATCTAAATAACCTTTTTGAATTAGTGTCTAAATCAATTAATTCTTAATTACTAGATCATTAATACTTGAGTAAGGCAACTAAGAAGACCCTAGGGAAATACGACTCTAGTCAGTTTCACTTTTGGATTTTCTTTGCATTCGCTTTTAGCGACATAAAATAGATATAGGAGTGGATGTCACTTTTGCTCTTATTACAAGATCGTGATGCAATGAACATGCCAAACCAGAAAAGGCTCAAAAGTTTGAGCCTCTAAAGTAAGAGCACCTATACCGAGTTTTTAATGTTTTTTTGGAGTCTCTTTATTCACAAGTTGTTCGTCCTAGTTCTACTATTTGACTTGTCCTAAATCGAGGCTACAACCCTCGCCTAGGCGGTTGGGAGATATCTTCTCTCCGGTTGACATCGTAAGTTGCTAATTACTTGCTACCGACGTTCAAAGTTTCATGCTATTATGATAGTCTAGCGAGTTGCGCTTTTTTGGGTTAGTTTTGCTTGAAGACATGCAAAACGTAAGTGTAGGGGAGTTTGATATCGACATAATTGTATATATTTTGAGCCTAATTCTTGACAGTTTAGCTTGGTTAGGAGCATTCCTTATATATTTTATGCTAGGTTGTGCTTCTTTTGTAATATTTCAGATCCTAGTATGTAATTATGGAATACGAACAATTTATGGGATATTTGGAGGCAAAATCAAGACAAAGGCAACATAAGGGAAAAGTCACGGTCATGGTCGTGACATTCAACACTAGCTTGTGACTTTCCACCAACATGCAAGACAATTTCTCATGTCATGGTCTGGCATAACAGGTCACGGTGACGTGACCCATGATGTTCGACAAGCATCTAAGGAGATTTCTCACGTCACAGTCAACCATTCACAAGTCACGACCTTGACCGTGACATCATCTCTCTGCCTGTTACTTTTGCATTCCAACTCGACGATGCTACACGTTTTGAGTCGATGTCACGACTTGAGTCGATGTACGATCCTGACTTGAGATTGTGAGTTGGGCAAGATGGAGGATAAGAGGATTTGACGGGAAATTCCAAATGAGATCGACTTTTAGACTAAAATATAAGTTGAGAAGATCCTAGAGAGAGAAGTGATGCAGAACTCATCCTTAGAGCTTTCTAGAGCCATCCAACCAACATTGAAGTTCAACCCAATAACCGAGGGGTGACAATGATGAGCATAAGATGGTTTCAAACTTCTACACGATAGTGGCTGCAAATTCTCTTGTGTTTTCCTTCATCTCTATGGAGTATTTTCTCACTCAGTTGTGTGAGGGATCCTAGTTTCATTTGTTATATTGGTTGTTGTTTGAGCCATATGATTTTTGAACTCTTTGCTATTTATCTAATTGAGGTATATTCAGGAATTGCATGAGTCTTAATCACACTCTTTCAATTGAGTTGTGACCTAGGATAGAAAACCTTATTAGGTAAATATAGCCCTTCAATTGGACGTGGTGAATCAGTAACACGAGAGTAAGTTGATTCACTGCGTTGTAATGGACTTCAATCTAGTAGCGGGGTCTTTTCTGTATTTCCTTGGTAGTCTATTTTGGTTGAGGATACTCTCCAACCAGGTAGTCTAAGTAAAGAGGGTTTGGTTTGCTTTTGTAAAGATTCCAAGCTATTTTGGGACTTTTTGAGGTAAAAGTATCGAGTCAATCTAACTAGGGAAGTAAACAACATTGACCTAACGAGGAACTAGGGGGAGTAATCCCCGAGTGGTTTCTCATCTTTGAATTCGAACCAATTTACTTTGCTTTGTTAATCGACATCATAACTTGCTAGATAAATAATATATCGGTTTATGAAATAATAGTAGACCTAGTGCCTCGAGTTGACAATTTATTACTTACTTTCCTATACTACATCTTTTCATTTGTTATACTTGGCCGTTGATTGAGAGACTAGTTTAGAGTGAGTCAATTCCCCTGCTAGCAGTGAAAGAAAAGATGACGCGTAGGTCGTCGACGGTGTTGTGATACTAGGGTGGGCTAGTTGTTTTGGAGGACGAATTAAGGGAGAAAAGTCGAACTCGTGAGAAGAAGAGAGTTAGGGATTTAGATATAGGTATGCCACTGAGACGAGAAGAATAATGTTGCCGCTGAGGCTCGCCTCATCCCCTCTCCTCTTAGGGGTGAACAAACACACATGTAAACCGACCCACTCGTCCAATCCGACCCAACCCACCTGTATTTATCGCTAAAATGAAAGTTTTGGGTTGTGTGAGGGTTTTCTTTTGTACAACCCGCCTCTTTTGGTTTGGGTTTGGATTTTGGATTACACAACCCGTAGAACCCAACCCAACCTGTGTTCCAGCTATTGGTAGGAGTTCGTATCCAAAAATTATTTATGTCGTATATAGCCATGCTTATGAGAAAATTAAGATATTTCGCCATGTTTTTCTCTCATGGTCTCCTAATCTAATGCATTTTTCGGCTTAAAGTTTATACATAAATTTAATATAGCTATGATTCATGTAATCCTTTTTCTCGTGAACAATTTTAATAGAATAACATATTATGGACGCATTCGTTTATAACTTTTTTAGCTTATTTCAACAAATGTCATGAAAAAAACTAGACATATTTTTGAAGTAAATCACATTTTATTAAAATTCAAAGAACATTTGTGAATTTTGATACATTTCACCTAGGTTTATTCGTTTGAAATTTTAATTAGTTAGAAAATATTTTTATGGTGTAGAATAATTACATTTTATGTGTTGGGTTTGGTTTTTACTTAAAAATATCACCAACCTAACCCAACCCAATTAGAAACAAACCGTAGGATTTAAATTTTTTTGGGTGGGTTTGGATTTAATATTTCTCAAACCGTAGTGTATGGGTCGGGTGATTAAAATAGCTAAACTCAGACCACACGACCCATGTACACCCCTACTCCTCTTTACCATGCCCGATCGACTAGTCAAACCAGACAATTTTGGATGGACATGAAAATGGACAGCTGACACTCGTTTGTGTCTCTGGATCACTAGTGCACCGCCCACAATCCACCCGCCATCCGGCGGATGATTCCCAGCGCAACTCGTCACCCAACCACATGCCTACCCACATAACGAAATTCGGGTCAAATGCGGATGGGTCGGTCCAAACGCGCGGGTGATCTGCCAGCATGCACAGCCCTAACTGGTATGACAACTAGACCTGGCAAATGAGGACCCGACTTGTTAACCCGACCCGAACCCGCCCGGAAAATAGAGAATGGGTTGAGGTTTTTATAACCCGAAACCCGAATGGCCCGAACCCGATTAACCCGTAGTTTTTGGGTCGAATTGAGTTGGTTTGTGGGTCGACCTGATACACCCGTTTCATGCATATGTCACTCTCAAAATGATAAAATCACTCATACTTTGGTGAGATGTTTTAAAAAAATTATTAGGATTTGAAAGACAAGTTTGGAGTGTTAAGATAATCAAACATCATTTGTTTATTGTAGTAGTATTACTTTCGTCATTTTTTTTTTTTGACAATTTGTATTTCTTTTCCTTAGCATGGAAGAAGTTGAGCATTTGTTAATTGACATGTGCTAGGTAAACTATTGTCGCACATACGTAAAAATTTGTGTTCTTTAAAAATTTATGAAGCATGTTTGATATTGTTTCTGAGAACGCTCATGACCCAAAATGACTCGAAACTAGATCCGAAACCCGATGGGTTGGGTCAATATTTGAACCAAAATCTGCAAACCCATCATGACCCCGATCTTGAAGACCCGTAACTCGAGATTTCCAACCCGAAATTACCCAACCCGACCCGATTGCCAGGTCTAATGACAACCAATTGTCCTCTCTTCCGTTTAAAAATTTATGAAGCATGTTTGATATTGTTTCTGAGAATGCTCATTACCCAAAATGACTCGAAACTAGATCCGAAACCCGATGGGTTGGGTCAATATTTGAACCGAAATCAGCAAACCCATCATGACCCCGATCTTGAAGACCCGTAACTCGAGATTTCCAACCCGAAATTACCCAACCCGACCCGATTGCCAGGTCTAATGACAACCAATTGTCCTCTTTTCCGTTTAAAAATTTATGAAGCATGTTTGATATTGTTTCTGAGAATGCTCATTACCCAAAATGACTCGAAACTAGATCCGAAATCCGATGGGTTGGGTCAATATTTGAATCGAAATCAACAAACCCATCATGACCCCGATCTTGAAGACCCGTAACTCGAGATTTCCAACCCGAAATTACCCAACCCGATTGCCAGATCTAATGACAACCAATTGTCCTCTCTTCCGTTGTACGGCAAACATGACTATTGATTCGGCAAAGGAAAATTTTCGAAATTTCCAAAAATTTGGATTTTCCCACCAAAGTCTCAAACTAAACCGCTCTTTATTTCGTTTTCCTGAAATTCGAAATCCCCCTTCATATTTAAAACCCAAAAATAACCCCAAACACACCGGTATTTCTCTTTTCATCTGCGGCAACTGTTCTCCGCTCTCCCTCCCTTTTCCTCTTCTTCTTCTTCTTCTTCTTCTTCCTCGGCTCCAAGTCGCTGGTTCAGGTGAAGTGCACTGTTTCTCTCTGTCTCTTTGTCACTTCTCCCCTCTTTGTCTTTCGAGTTTCCATGGCATCAGATCTGAAATTCTCTGAGTCCATATTCGCCAGAGAGTAAAAACTGGAATTAATTTCCGGCGGATCTCTTTTGATTGTTCCGGACTTCATGGGTTTCTCTATGTTTAACACATCCAATTCCTTGCTGCTGAATGCCTGTTGGAAACCCTAAATCTAACTCTTGTTTTGGTGAGACGCAGATGGCTGGAAAAGGAGGAAAAGGGCTTTTGGCAGGGAAGACCACCGCCTCTAACAAGGACAAAGATAAGGATAAGGACAAAAAGAGGCCTACCTCCAGATCTTCTCGCGCTGGTATCCAGGTGAACTGAAAATAAACCTCTTGGTTCCCTTGTTCTACGTAGATTACTCTGTTGCTCTGTTTACGGAAAATGTTCTGCTGTCAAATTGGAGAATTTACCTGTTTACCAGAACTTGGTAGGCTTAGAGTTGCTAAATCTGTGGCTGTGCCTGGTGGCTTTTTGAGCTGTGCTTTAATGTGTTTGTCTGTTAGGATTCTGCTTACAGTTCTATGAAAGAAAGGTAAACGCTTTGTTTGTGGGTTTGTTTTCCTTGGAACAATCCTCTTCCACTGCCATGGAGATGTAGTTTGACCCAGAAATGCTATGTGGGATTGTGCATATTCTGTATTTTTGTTTGCTTCCTGTGTCTCTGAATGCTTTCCCTTGTGCGATTTCGTTTCCATGCACAAGGATCATTGTTGATTGAATGATTCATCACCTGCCTGCACTAAAGCTCAGCACCAGTGCCTTCCACACTTGTTCTGTGGTGAAAGGTCGCAATGATTCTAGCTTTGCGATGGTGACTTAAGTTTCCCAAAAATGAATTTTGTCTACTAAGTAAATGGAGTCTTTACTGTGAAAAACTTGTGGGATTCTGATATTTCTTTTCATATCTCTTCCTGCAGTTCCCTGTTGGGCGTATCCATCGCCATCTCAAGCAAAGGATTGCTGCTCATGGTCGAGTTGGGGCTACTGCTGCTGTGTATTTGGCCTCAATCCTTGAATACCTTACCGCTGAGGTTCTCGAGCTTGCTGGGAATGCAAGCAAGGATTTGAAAGTGAAGAGAATCACGCCCAGGCATCTGCAGCTGGCCATTCGAGGGGATGAGGAGCTTGATACTCTCATCAAAGGTACCATTGCTGGTGGTGGGGTCATCCCTCACATCCACAAGTCTCTCATCAACAAGACCAGCAAGGATTGAGAGAGAGAAAGCTTGCTGTTATTTATCTTTCTTGTCTAGCTTCTGTCAAGCTTGAACTAGGGTACCTCTGTTTAGTTGTGTGAAGCTTTTAAGTTGGGTTTAGGGTTCATGTTTTCAGGCTTCTTTGATGTTATATTTGCCAGTGGTGGTGTCAGGGCTTGTTGGGTTTAGTAGTACATAGGGTCTTTAACCTGTAGGGTTGTGTTTCTAGACTAGAACTGGAATCTTCTTTTTCGGTAGCAGGTAATTCTGTTGGATTGTTAAGTTATAGAGGGTTTCGACACTAATCCCATAATTGTGTGCCCAAGTTTATCGTCATGTATTTGAATCAAGTCTTCTGCTTTCCCTTTGCAACTGCCCGACTGCACCAGTCAATTGCGAGCAATCAAATTACGGGAAATTCATCAACGGTCCTTTTGCATGGTATTTGGAGAATTGGAGTGTTTGGTAATTAGTTTTGTTTCTTCGGCGACTGGGATGACGACGATAACGACGTGGGCTTCAGAAAAGCATTTCTTTGACGAGATCGCGACTGGGTGAATGTAGGAGTAGTTCTCCGGCAGTCGCCATGAAGCTTGAGGAGCTCTGTATGATTTCCTCTGGAGTAGATCTCGTATGCGGCGGTGGAAGGCTCTCCAACACAAGAGTGTGAGAAGGCGTTTTGGTCGAAAGTGGCATGGTTATTTAGATGTATTTTGCCTATTTATTTTGTGAGTATCATCTCAAATTTGATTTGCTAACTTTTGAAAAGGTTGTGAATAAGCTTGCCTTAATTCATGTTTATCAATAGGACAAGTTAATATTAACATATTTTAAATTCACATATTTCAAATTCTCTTTCTAGAAAAATAGTTTGAGATTCATAATATTCACATAACAAAAATACAATATTTGCATGCAATATGTCTAATGTGTATGTGAATTAGGGGTGTGCAACGAGTTGGTCCATACCGGATTGCACCGGATCAAATCAACATTTAGACATGATCAAACCGAATCGAATGTAACATGGTTTGATCCCTGGTTTCCATGAATTTTATAAATACCGAAGAAAAACTAACCAAAGTGACATTTGGACTGAACCAAACCGGACCGATGAAATGTTGGTCTAGTCCTTGGTCCTAAAATGTCTTTCACTATTGAATCGCGTTTCTCATGAGTTTGGTTCAGTCCAGAACGAGTACACCTCCAGTATGAAATATAATTGTCTTACGTGAATATTTTAAATAGAAAAGATAAATATATCAACAGATGTGTCCAAAAAATATAAATTTTAAAGTTATTAGATAGAAAAACTTACATACCGTTTGATATAAATGAGTTCCATAAGTTTTGAGAAATTCATTTGGAAATGAAACTTTTTGGTGTTTGGTATTTAAAAGAATTCATTTTGAATTCTATGGATTTGGAACTATTTATAGCAATTCCGAGGAATTGAGATGGAATTTCCAAATGAATTCCACAAGTATTTACTAATTATAATAGAATCACATAATTATCCTCACTAAATTACTTATACATATGATATACCAAGCACAAGAATTCATTTGACAATGAATTCTACACCGCAATTCATTTTAAATCTAAAGATTTGAATACGACATACCAAACACAAGATTTCATTTGACAATGAATTCTACACGGTAATTCATTTTACAATGAAATGAATTCTCGATTCATTTGGTACCAAACGGTCTGTTAAGGTTATGCCTATAGTGACTTGCAAGTCACCATAACTTGGATAGAATGGTCTACTTCTTTCACAAAGCGGTCAACCACTTTTCAAGTAGACAGTCTACCTCTTCCACAAATCGATCGACCACTTTCTAAAAAAATATCCTACCGCTTCTACCAAGTGGCCCACCACTTCAGAAAAGCAATCTATCTCTTTCCACAAGTGGTAAACCTGATGACACTCAACTTATACCTGCTTGTTGAAAGCGGTAGATAGTTTCCGCCAAATTATCTACCAATTCTGGAAAATGGTCTACCGCTTCCAGGGAAGGGTCTACCACTTCCGCGAACGGTCGACCAATTGACACAGTTTTCCCTTGGTAATCAACGGTTTCTCATTAAAACCACACTATGATTAAGGTGATCAAAGGTCGAAAAAACTCAAGATGGTGTCCTTACAAGCTTCTTTAGATCAAAGCAATGAAAGAAACAACTATTAGCTATACAAATCACATAAAACATCTAGCTGCCTAATCTAAACTCTGAAACTTTCTCTCGTCTTCATAGTAACCAATCTCATCTATCAAGTGAAGCAATGAGGTCTGCCATGATCGTTCTGCTCGACCAAACACTTGAGTACATTTCTCCTTCCAAATCAGAGCCATCACCCAACACCACATCACACCAAATCAGAAAATTCACATCATAGAATCCCAATCACAAGGCCACCTACTGCACAATTTGCCAAAGACTTCCCTGCACAACACTATAGTATAACTGCCGCAACAAAACATATATTCTCTGGTTGCTTTCGGAGCATTACAAAGAACACAAATGTCCATATTTACCTCCCCCAAACAATAAGCTTATTACGGGTATAAATTCAGTTCAGTATGATTAGCCAAGAAATGAAACTATCTCGAGGTATATGGAGCTTACCCCAAACCCATTTCCACCATTCCGCTCGCTGTTCTTTGCTTTAATAGGTTCCTAAACTCTTTTAACCCTAAAGTGGGCCTTCCAATGTGACTTGCCCATCAGAGTCAAGGCTCATTCTAAACCGATACCAAGATCTGAGTTTGATCAGGCGGCGGTAGATCCATGACCATGAAGACGTTGCAGGTACAATCCAAATGGTTCTTCCTCTGATCCTATATCGAGTGATCCATGCCCCCCAAAAACTTTCACTCTGCATTAAGATTAACCACAGAAGATGCGCCATGCAGGCTACATTTCAAGTGTTGAGATCCTTTAAACCCAATCCCCCTTCTTTGTATGGAACAGCCAAAACTTTCCTAGCCACTTTAGCCTTGCTCGAGTCATCACCATGCCATAGTTACCTTTTACTTACATTAGGAAAATGATGGACAATAGAGGGATACAATACAAAACTGTTTTGTAGTAATGCAACATCCTATCACCCGTGGGCAACCAAATCTCTTCCCAGACTATTGGCCTAGACAAAAAGAAATAACACCCTCTTTTACACTTCTAGAATAAAAGTCCATAAAATCAAGATGACACATGAGATTTATGGATGTTAAAGATGACATAATTGTATAACAATTATACTTTACTTTTTAAGTATTTCATAACAACAATAGCAACAAAGTTGATCTATCACAAGAAAACTATAGGATAAAAACAAGCAAACTTAGAACTTGCAGGAAAGATGAAAGTTTCTATAGAGTAAGTAAAAAAAAATATGCAGAACATTTTTCAAATCTATGAGAGGACAAACAATTACCCGAGGAACTTATCATCTACACTCCACCATTTGTACTAATTTTAATTTGACCCTCTTATCAGCAAACATATCTATTAATATTGTTCTCATCTAATGATATATAATAATGCCATTAGCAATGGTTTATTAGGTCAACCGGTTGTTGGAAGCTGTGGACCGCTTCATCGCAGAGGTAGACCGCTTAGGTTAAGCGGTAGACAGTTTTCTTGAAAAGTGGTTGACCAGTTACTTAAAGAGATATACCATTTTCTCCAAGTCACACTTCCAAGTCATTGTAGCAAAGTCCAACACATACTTTAAGGAAATTTTGTTCTTAAATGTTTTTCAAAAACAATGTTTATTAGTAAAAGAGATAATACCACTAGAAAACCCGAACTATTAAGAATGTGTCATTTGTGTCCTAAAGTATCCAATATGACATTTGTGTCATAAACTATTTTTTCGTTAGAGTTGACCGGCGTTGATCGTAAGTATTTAACAAATGACACATTCTTAATAGTTCGGGTTATGACATAAATGACAGAAAACGATAATAGGTTGGGACACAAATGTCATATTAGATACTTTATGACACAAATGGAACATTCTTAATAGTTCGGGTTTCCTAGTAGTATTAGCCCTTAGTAAAAATAGTCTTTGCAAAATTTGAGCTGGTGTACGCAACTTTGCCTAACATAGACGAATTGATTATGGAAGGGCATATATGAGTCAAGTGATCCGAGAATAAAATAGACTTCGCACAAAAACCTAACTCAATTTGCGTTCAAAAGAAGGGGAAACAACGCTTGCTATTGTGTCTTTTAATGATGCATTTTTTTTTAATAAATCGCAGTTTTAGTGGTGTGTTCTGATTATAGATCTTCAATTGCATCATTGTCATGAGAAATGTCACATTCAGAAGCATTGTCAATGGCATATCTATTGTGTATAATGCATGAAGGTTGGGCACATGATTTTGGACTACCGTTTATTGTTAGAATAATGGCCAAGGTTGTGGGAGCTGCGGTCGGGCCTCCACCTTCTGATTGACCTACCTTTCCTACTCCACAATTTGGGGTGAGTGGCTCAAGGGTCACGGCTACTTATTTTAAGCAACATTTCTCACTTCGTACGTTGACATTTCCGGTTGACATTCCCATAGGGATGGCAGTTCAACCCGGACCCGCGGGTACCCGACCAGACCCAACCCGGTCAAACCGGATAAAATCCGTGTTGACCGGGTTCGGGCCGGGTTCGGGTTTAAACCCGGTGGCTGGTTGAGCGGGTTGGGTCGGGTTCGGGTTTGGGGGAACCCGACCCGTGGATACCCGGCCATACATCTCTATTCCCCTAACCCTAAATTACCCAGTCGACTTCCCTCCCAGAACCAATTTCCACTTCCCACTTCCCATCGCCACCAATCTCTTCCCGATCCCGACCCATCTTCCTCTCCGCTCCGGCCTCCATTCCACGACCCATCTTCTTCTCCGCGAGACCGCGAGTCCGCGACCCATTGACTCACTCCTACTATCACTCTAGAAAATGGCCAAGTGTAACCACTTCCTAAAGCGTAGTATAGCGGGTTTGGGTTTCAATGTCAACCCGGGTCCTAGATGTGATGACTACTCAGTGAATTCGTATTATCTAGCAGTGAAACTTTAGTGAAGGCCTAAACTAACAAGCAAGCAAAGCAACTAAACGTTTGTATTCAGGTTGAGAGAGGTCACCCGGATATGGTTCCCCCTAGTCTGCAGTTAAGCCGGATTGTAATTACCAAGTTCAATTTCTATGAAAGTTATACTGCGGAAGGTTCTTAATCAGTCTGAAGTCTCGACTAAAGGTCTTCAGACCCTCTCAATCTGACTCTCTAGCGGGCGACTAACCTCCACCGGAGTCGACAGATTGAGGCCCTAAGAACAAAACCTCCACTACCGGAGTAAATCCGGTACAGAATAGTGAGTTGGCTCCTCGACTAAAGTCACCAACTCCCTACCTTCAATCAAGGATACTCTATTAACCTAGACAGATATTCTCATTCTAGGTTAAAGCAGAAACAACAGGAATTTGATCAGGATTCAAGTCATTCAATCATAAAACCTCAATCGAATATAATCAATCACAGAATCAGTACTTGGGTTCATACAATCAATCTCAACATACAGAACTAGGGTTTCCCACACCCAGATGAATGGGAGAACTACTCCATGGAGAGAGAAGCAAAAGCAGAATCAGATGCGGAAATCATACTGTGAAGATGGATTTCTGCTCCTGGACGTTGAATCGGCAC